GGGTTATCACCTTATTCACATTTTCCTAAAGTAACTAAGATCGGGAATTTATCAAAACATTTAGTTACTTTACAATCATCATACTTTTAATGAGGATTAAAGTCATTGTCCTACCTGTTCAGCTAACGAACCTTCACTAGTCAAGGAATTGGTGGGTGAGAGTGGACACCCATTAAGTAGCCATTTTATAGGCAACAACCTTATACCGCCCTTATAGACCGGTTTCGAGAATGAGACCTGCTAACGGTAAAACGACCTGTTCTTATACACACACACACAATGTAACATCCTAAAATTCAAGACCGAAAATTTCATTTTTGAATTAATAATTTTTAAAACATTTTACCATAACATTGTCAATAAAGCAACACATTACAAAATCATAATATTGCGTCCCAAACCATGACATCAAAAGTAATGAAAATCAGAGTACAATCCCAGAAAGTCTGATCCGGAATCATGTGTGTGTGTGTGATGCGATGCTACGCCGCCAGCTCCTTCCCCTTAGATGGAGAGGTACCTGAAAACAAAACCGAAACCATAAGCACAAATCTTAGTGAGTTCCCTCATCATACCACATACCATACAATATCATCGGTATCTTTCAACCGGTAATCGTCATCGGTATCTTTCAACTGGTAATCATCGTCGGTATCTTTCAACCAGTAATCATCATCAATATCTTTCAACTGGTATTCATCGTCGGTATCTTTCAACCGGTAATCATCATCGGTATCTTTCAACCGGTAATCATCATCGGTATCTTTCAACCGGTAACTGGGGACTATTCCACCCCTACCACTAGCATACAACAACAAGATATAAACATACAGTCAGGCATATCCGGGTACTGACCTACCCTTCGGTCCTAAGGACCGCTGTAACGGAAACTAATCCCTACTATACACATAACATATCATACAAATAAATCTCATGACCAAGGCACATAACCAGACCAAGATAATTATCAAAAAGACAATTTATCTTCTAAATACCCCTCCGTGGTTGGCCGACATTGTGGCCTTAGACTCACCCCTACTGGAAGGTAACTCACCTCATACGAGTAGCTGCTGATAATCTGCGTGGGAAACCTCTGTCTGCTGCTGCTCCAGAAATCCTCCAGTTATAATCCCCACAAAACACTCAGTCAGAATCTTATATCTACTCTTAGGGTAAAATGACTATTTTACCCCCAACCAAGTCCAAGTCAAAGTCAACTTCCAGTTGACCCGACTTGCCAAGTTGGGTCGTCAACTCGTCGAGTCCCTACCCTTTACTCATCCTTATCCAAGACTCGACTCGTCGAGTTTGGCAACGAATCGATGAGTTCCCCTTCTTTACGTACATCAATGAACCTTCATCCGACTCGTCGAGTTCACCTTCATCTGATGAACAAGTCCTGACCTTGACTCACCGATTTGTATGAACAACTCATCGAGTCCATCTTCAATCATAAGGAGATTGCCTTCGACTTGCCGAGTCTGTTCTAGCACTCGTCGATTCCCATGAACTCCAGATCTAAAACTAAGTCCAATGCGTTGGGTCACTCTTTCTGACCTGCTACAACCCTTCTAACACCCAAATGAGTTCTTTTGACCCTCAAAAAATATAGGACTCAAAGCCTTGGACTCGTCGAGTCCCAAGAATGGACTCGCCGAGTTGATAACGTCCACACCATAAATCCTCGATTTTTGATGTACAACACTTGTCCAAATGATAGATCCAAGCCCCTAAGCTCAATCTAGCACGTAAAGTTATGAACTTTACGTGCATGCATGGGACTTTTGAGCCAAAAAGGCTCTAAAATGGCTCTTTTGTTGCATGAGACCCTCCTTAGGTGCAAAAGCAACCCAAATCTGCCTTGTGACTCCTCCTAAGACTTAGATCAGAAGTCTTGACCCCCAACCATGTTTGCATTCATGGTTGGTCACCTCATATGGCTTAAAAGTCGTAAATCTTCCCCAAAAGGGATCTAACATACAAGCAAGCAAGGTACTGTCCTTATACCTTTCAAGGTCTGCAAATGATGAACCAAACTCGAATCCTTCAGTCTCCTCTTGATCCTTCTATGCTCTTATTTCTTCCTTGAGGTCAAAACCCACAAAAATCACTCAAAAGCCTTATCTCTTGCACCAAAACACTTAGGGTTTGCTATGGAGGGTCTTTGGGAGCAATAGGGACGAGTGGTCGCTGAAAGAGATGATTAAATAGGGTGCAAACCCTCATATTAGGGTTTTTGTCCAGCCAGAGCCTACTCGTCGAGTCTGGCCACCTACTCGACGAGTCCGTCACTTAAGTCCCGTGTCCAAACCCACTCCTACTCGACGAGTTGGGCCTTCAACTCGCCGAGTCCCAAGCCAAAAATACAAAATACATAAAAATAAATAAATTACATACCAGGAACCAGGTGTTACACACACACACACACACACACACATATATATATATATATATATATATATATATATATATATATATATATATATATATATATATATATATAAACTTATAATATTATAAAGTATAAGGGTTGAATTTTAACTTTTAAAATTCTAGGGGTTGGAACTAAAGTTTTTAAAGTGAATTTACATGTTCCAAAACTTGAGGGAAAGTTTTGTAACTTTCAAAACTTTTCATCTTTCATAACTTATGAGTTAATGATTTATTAAAATGAGAGACTTTTCATTTTATGTAACCTATGTGTTTATTAATGAACTTTAAAAGAATCACTTTTGGTAATCCATAACTTGAGGACAAATTCTGGATTCCATTAAAACGCATCAAGATCAAGAATTAAAGTAACAAACTATTTGCAAATAATTCCTATTATCTTCTAAACTCATAAGTTCATGAACATTCATATCAATAATTTCAAGAATCATAAATAACACATACAAAACTTGAAATTTTGATCATATCCATTGCAAATGCATTATCATAACCATTACACCATCTAAAACAAGTTAAATAAGACCAAAACAGTTTAGGGTAATGTTTCTAGTCCATTTCCAGCAGCAAAACTCGAAAAACTGCATCCAAGGCCTCCTACTCGTCGAGTGGAAGAACCTACCCGACAAGTAGGATTAATTAACACATGGAATCGTCGAGTCCACCCATGGACTCGGCTAGTTCACTCAGCAGATAGCAGATTTTTGAGTTTTTTCAACAAGTTTGCATGAAGTATCATGGAAACAAGCCTAGTCTCTGATACCACTGAAGGGTTTTGAGCATTCTAACAATCCTAAGGTGTACATGCAACCCTAGAAACCTTAGAATCGTGTTTTGCTAAGATACATGCAAATTTGATTTTCCAAGGTTCTTGACCTAACTAGCATGGCATGGGGAACTTTGAAACATAAAAACTAGTAGAAGAACATACCTTTTGTTGCTTGGATTTCTTGAGAACCTTGTGAGCCTAGCATCTCAAGTCTGATGCCTCAAATGTCTTACACAACACCACAACACTTGGAATAACCTTGAGAGAAGTTCACTAACACCTCAAAATCGGCTATCCCTCTTGTTCTATTCTTAGTAGTGCCGATTTTGCTAGTCATTGGATCCTTTTATAGTTGTGTCACAAGTAGGGTTACAACATGCAAACCCTAATTGACATGGATTTCCATATTCCATGATACATGGGTTTATAACCTCCATGGACTATCCATGAAGAACCTTATGGGTTTTAGCCCAATTCAATAAACCATGGATCATTATCCCACTATAAAATAATAGATGATTTACATAATAAACTCTATATATTTAATTAGTCTTCTTTTGATCACTTACTTAATTCCAAGTTAATTATTGATCAATACTAATTAAATAATATCATTAATATATTAGAACTTATAATATATTAATAAACCTTAAGTGTCCTTTCTCTCATTTAGTTTATCCAAGTGTTGCAATGCCATGCAACCCAAATGGACCTTCCTAACCGGGTCAAGTACATGCCAGAAACAGTTATCAACTTAGACACCTAATCCAAAAGTAACATCCAAAAAAACTCATGCCAAATTTAAAGTTTTTAAAATGATTTAAATACAAATAGTTAGTACAAAAAGGTTTCCAAAATAGTTTCATACCAGAGTATCCCAGAAATCCAATCAAAATATGAGGAAGTTTACGGTCAAGCCTTCGCCTTCCCGCGGTCTTCCGCTGATATACCTGAAACAATAAACTGAAACTGTAAGACCGAAAGCTTAGTGAGTTCCCCTAAAATACAAACCTCATACAACCATGAACATATCAATAAAATGATTGGACCACCCTCTTGGGTCCTTTAGCCTATTCGGACCGCTCGCCGAGCCTTCGACCTGATGATGTGCCCTCCTCGGCCTGTAGTCTATCCGGTCTGCCTTGGGTATGTAGGCATACACCACGAAGTAGGATGCACCTCAACCCAACCCCCATACCAATCAACCAATAATGTGCACATAAATAGAATACGATAGCATGTATATAATAGATAATCATATCGATCTAACAGATCCCTAACGCAACAACCATACTATATCTAGGATACAGATCTAAACCAAGTCACTAACATAGCATCATCCTAATAAACAGGATACCAACCTAAACTAGGTCACTAACATAATACCATCCTAATTACCAGGATGCAGATCTAGCATATCAATAAACATATCAAGCAAATACCCTGATACAACTTTGATAAAGGACTGGCCTTGGTGTCGTAGACCCTATTGATATAGTGAGGATAAGTCACCTCGCAATGTCGGTCTGAACTGAAGTACCAACTACCGAAGTGCTGTCACGCCGAAAACACCGAACCATCCAAAATAACAAATGTTGAGTCAATATATGGGCTATCAATCCTGACTAATGGTCCATATAGTGCATTTTTTCTTTTCTCTAACTTGGGTCATGGCCCAAAACCAAATCCATGATCCAAAAGTCCACATCTACGAAACCTGAAGCCCAACTCCCTAATTGGGCCTCAATCCAAGATCCATTATCAAAACTTGGTCCAAATCAAATTATTCAGTGAGTCCAGCAAAGCTTAAGCCCATCCAGTCCAAACACAGTCCGTAACCTGAAGCCCAAAAGACGAAAGCCCAATAAAGGAAGTATGCGGGGCGTACTCCTCTAGTACGTTGGGCGTACCCATTGACCACCATCAGGGTGGTTGACCGAGTATGCTGGGCATAATGGATTTACGCGGGGCGTACGCATGACTGAACCAAAACTCTCCTAAGTGCTTAATGGCTTAAGAACTTAAGCCCATATTTCAGATGCATCAACCAAAAGTGTCTAGGAACCATAAAGTCTCAAAATTTATCACTTGGAACGTCCAGAAAGCTCTTAATCCAAGGTCTTAATCCATTAATACCTTTCTACTACATGTATGGGACATCTTAACCCATTGGGATCTCATTTTTACTACTTAAGACCTCAATAAGGGTCTGAAAGGATAGCTTATCTTGTCCAAAATGCAACATGCACCAAAAAGAGGTTTGGGGACAAGAAATGGTTCCAAAAGCTAGAATGGCTAGATCTTGTAGAAATAGGCACAAAGGTAATAACTTTATACCTTTTGGAGCTCCCAAAGCAGATGATGAACCAAGATCTACAAACCAATCTTCCTTTCTTGACTCCTTGATGCACAAGCTTCTTCTTAAAGGAACAAGAACACACTTATAAGCTCAAGAATGATCAATATGAAGCTAGGGTTTTCTCAAGACGGCTAAGGGAGTGTGGAGGGTGAAAGAGATGACAGGGAAGGGTCCATAAGGTGCTTAAATACTCCACAAAGCCTAAAAGTTAGGGTTTCATCCTGGTATACGTAAGCAGCGTACTAGGGTGTGCCCTAGTACACTTAGCGTATCACATGTACGCCCAGCATACTACTTAAACTTCCAAACTTACCATTTTGCCACTAGGGCCTCCTTTTTGCACTCCCTTCTAAACCAAGGGCCAAAATTCCCTAATCAAAACCCAATGGATGAATTTGAAGCTACTGGAAAAATGGGATGTTACATTATATTTATTAATTATATTTATGGGTTTTGAAGTTAGCATTTTGTGTACCCCTTTACATAAATATCATCTTCTAAACTGATTATCTCGTATACATTCTCTTAGTTATTGTTAAGTACTCTTAGAATGTTCTTATAATCATCTAATGACTTACCCATGTATTCACTTGGTATCTTTTAATATGTTTACAACACAATCATATACATTCTCTTGTGCATAATATGGCATAAATCATGGATTCTTTTTCAGAGAAAATAGAATGTAAATCATTTATCTATCTCAAACATATGTGATAGGTACTTTTGAGATAGGCTTAAAATGTTGTCATGTGGCAATGCTAAGAATCCTACAAAGGAATCTTATATACTGATCTCTTTCAATATATTTTAAATTTATACATAAAGATTAAATACTTTAGCATTCATTTCTATCTATCTTTATAGATTTTACATTCCAAGAATGTATCTTATCTTCCCTAAGTCTTTCATCTTAGAAATACTTTTCGATTCAAGGCAAAAGAGCCTTTCATAGTCGGAATATAACTTTTTATGATTATGTATGGCTCATTCATACAAGATTAGGAATATCACTATTTCTCCCACTAGTTCTTTTAAACACAGATGTTAAATTTTTCTAATGTACGTTGAGAATAAATCTAGAGTGATCGATTAGATTAAAATAGGTAAAAGAATCAAGAACAGAATGAAGATGAAATATGTGGTTAATGCTTAAAAGCCACAGCCTCAGAAGATCTCGGCAAAGAACTCCTACTGTAGAGGCGTGTAGGGTTTATAATCTCGATAGATTCAAGACACGCTGAATGTATGCGCCTTAAATAGTAAAACCCTAATAATTAACTAACGGGTGGACATGCCCAAACCAGTATACAACATGGACTACTACAATCACAATAATGACGCAACATAAAATACCCAACAATCCCCCCCTTTGTGTCAATTGAGGCGGGATCAGACACTTCTGAAAATCAACACTTTCTTTTGATCCCCTATGAAACATCACAATCCAGTTTTCTTCGTCTATCTTCCCCATCTTCAATTTCTCAATATCTTTCGCTGATCCTTGGGGAAGGATTGTTGGTTTCCTCTTCAACACAGAAGCTATTTCAGTGTCTAGCTTTGCAACCTCATTGATATATGAAACTAGCATTCGTTTGATGTGTTCTACAATCAGCTTATGCTTCTTCTCTTCCTTTATTAGGAGATGCATCAGAGTGATCCAGTCATAGGGATTTCTTACACAAGGTAGATCAGCGAGAGAGAACACAAAAACAGAACTCTCTGAACCTCGATTTTTTTTTAATTTGACATTTACGAAGCTGTCGGTTACAAGTGACCCAATGACCTTCACACCAGTTAATTTTTGTGCACTCCATGTAAGATGTTGAGGCTTTCCGTGCTTGAGATAGAATTCCATCAAAGATTTGTCAACATTCACATGTGATGGTGGGGTGTTCTCAATCACCTCGATACTCTGAAACAGAAAAGCTTTCGGTGTGATAGGCACATCTAGTTGCAAATGAAGTGTGTTTTCTAGTTCGAACGAGGCAACCGGCTCTAGCCAATGAATATTTGGATTATCAACCATTTCATTTAGAATTCTCTCTAAATTCCACAAAGGAAATAAAAGTTTTCTACTTTCCAATGTGAGTTGAGCTTCATGTTCAACTCTAGCTTTTTCTTTTGCTTCTCTAACAATCTGGTTGTTTTCATCAATTTCGGCTTCACGAGACTTTCTTCGTTTTAACTCATGTTCATCAGGCCCTTCTTCATCACTATCATCAATCAACTTCCCTTTTCCTTTCGAATCCAAAGCTTCCCTACCCTTCAGTTTGTTCATTGTTTTTAGCATTTCGGTTTCACCAGAAATTCCAACAGTTTTCTGGGGTTCTTTCGCAGATTGATCTTTTGTATGTTCTCCCCCTTGTTTTGGAAGTATAGAGAACTCCGAAACACCTTCAAGCCTATTGAGAATAGTGAATCCAGGCCTGATTTTGTCTACTAGATGTTTCTTGATGGTGATAGGGATTAAGGGATCGCGTGTCTTCATGAGATCGGAAAGCAAACTATTCACATCAGAAACACAACTTTTTACAACAGCTCTCTAATATAAGAGCTTGTTGATCTTCTTCTCACCATTCTCAAGCTTGACATTTAACACCTTCACTTTTTCTGTCTTAAGGGAGAGAGCATCAGTTATTTTACTCTCAGTTGCCAAGTCATCTTGAAGCTTTACGATTTTGGATGTGATAGAGGAGTTGAGCTCTAAGTTGTCAGATTTGATACTAGTGTGTACCTTCTCTAGAGCCTCTTTCTCTGTTCAAAGGGAAGTACTCAGACTTGATATAGCTTCATTAGCTTTCACAATATTTGACTCAAAAGAGCTCTGAAATGTGCTCATGAAGGATCGAGCATCAGTAATTAGTTTATCGACTTTTTTGGTTGCATGCTTGCATGTGGTAGCCGAATCCTCCATAGCTTTGTTTGCTTTCCCTAGATTCGCAGCATGTTCCTTTAGTGTCGTTTCGATAAAGGCCTTGACTACTTCCTGAGAATAAGAATTGCTTGGCAAAGCATTGGAAGATTGAATTAACGAATCTAGCATCTCATTAACGCTCTTCATTTGCCTTTGAGTGACCGGAGCATCATTTTTATTGTCAGCTTGTACACTGAAAGGAATTGAATGGAAAGCTTCAAATTCTTCATCAGCACCTCTAAAAATAGTATTAGAACCACCTTGGAGAGAGGTGAGATGGGTGGCGTAGAATGACCAACAGAGAAACATAAAGCACCTGCCCCGCATCAGATGCATTGACAGAGATTGGAGGTTCACCAGTGGTAGTTGTAGTGTTGTTCGAATCTATAAACAAAAGGGGTCGATCGGGCAAGAGTTTATTGTGGTTGCGAAACACTTGTAGAAACAAGCGGGCAAATGGTGATGGTGATTGAGGTAGAAATAGCAGATGTAGGTGAAGGGAAAGAAAAATCTTTGAAAAATTCTTTTGTGATCGGAATGGAGGTAGAAATCTAAAAGGTTACCGCATGGTTCATTGTTGTAGGCTCCGAAACCTTTTGTTGAGATGTTGCAACAGTATCATCTTCGTTGTACGTACCTCCTTACACTGGAACCTCCGACATGGTTTTCGATTATGAATCTTCACAGTCACTTGGAATCGGATTTCAAGGCCTGCGAGCCACTTTCTTGATCTTCTTCTTTTTCGGTGCTTGAGGAAGTTCGGATGGACCAACTTTCACAGCCCTTTTCTTTCCTCCTTTCTTAGGTTTATCCGCCTTGTCAAGGACCTTTTGTATTTCATCGGTCAAAGGGCGAAAGCCAAAGACATGTAGACTTCTATTGGTTTGCAGCACATCACTTTCGGCTGGAACATCTCGAAGCATCACTTCAGGAGTTGAGCCGATAAATGAAAACTTGGAATAATCAGCAAAATGATGTTGGTAGTGTAGAAGATCTGAATTGCTGCTACAATAGAATCTTCAAGAATGGGAATGTGAAGCTTATCAATAGCCCGTCAAACCACAATCGTCCAGAAATGACCACAGGAAATCTCACTATGTCGGGTAGTGAAGAGGGTACTTTGGACCAGTTGAGCCCAAAGCAAAGTGCCAAGATCAAGATTGATACCGGTGTAGACTCCATACATGATTGTTATAAAAAGCTTACTAGCACAATCAGAACCTGTTACCCTTTCAGCAACACTTTTGAACAGGAGCGTAAATAGTCTGTTCCACATTAGTGGCAGATTGGGCTTCTTGAACTTGGAAACTACAATCAAGACTTCCTTGTAGCCCATCTGGTAAAACGTCTCCCTAATGGCAAAGCAGGATATGGATTCAGGGTTTACTAAATCACCCCCTTGTGGAAGCCCTATCAGAGAACAAAATCGGGACTTTGTGACGTGAGTTTTCTTGTTGAAGATCTTGAACGTAATCCATTCCTCCTCCTTTTGGTAACTGGCTGTAGAGAATACCTTTGACAGATGAACCATTGGAACGATCTCCGATTTCATGAGGGCGATAACCAGTTATAGTAAGCACTTGACGATTGGCTAAAGAAAATCATCATATTTTTCCAGATCAAAGTGCATAATGAGATTCTGGTTTGCCTTGATTTGGATACAGATGATTATGTTGATTGTTCAGCAACTGATGGCATTTCAGATGGGGCAACCATGGATGCTTGTAAAGGAAGATGAACAGTATAGAGAGAATTTTCCAGAGAGTTTGATTTCTTTAAAAAGTAGTAATAATAGCTGAATCGATGAAATCCTTTTATATTGTGTACTAGGAGAGAGAAAATAACACGTTTGGCGCTTCAATTACCTGAAAAAGAGTTTGAAAAAGCACGACTGACAGCTCTTACGTGTTTCAGGCGATGGTAAAGTAGGCGTTAGTTTCAAATCTTCACGTTCCTCATTTTAAATCTTATCCCTTTAGTACCATTACGGTTACGACCTTTCGCAATTTATGCAATTTACCTTTTCACATTTAATCACCATCAACTGTTCTGCGAAACTGAAAGTAATCATTAGTAACACGAACCAGACTTTTGGAAAATCACTAGGATCTTCGTGCGAGAGTGTGCCAAAGATAAAGAAATAAATCGGTAATATTTTATAGGATTCTAGTGATGTCCATGAAGACACAAAACTATTGGATCCCGGGAAAAGATCTCTTCCTTTGGAGTCAAAAGAGACACTGAAGTGTCTATGTGGTTTCCCGTTGAATTACGACCAACTGTTTGTTGAGAAATAGTGAAAGGCATCTTTTCATTAAGATCAAAGGGTGGCTTCATCTTCAACCAAAATCCACAACTTGATATAAGTACGCATGTTCGGATGAAGTACTTGCCTGAACAGTGTACTCATAAGAACAAGTATGATTTGGAATTAATATTAAGTGACTAGGATAAATTTAGAAATATCAAGAAAAATAAAACCAGTTCTATTGGGAAGAAACATCTTAGGACTAGAACCTTTCATAAAGATCTTGCAAAAGAAAAATAGATTTCTTGGTACAGATCACGAAGTTGGAAATTCGTTAATTCCTTGGTGAAAAATCTAGAACATGAAATTGTTCACCATTAATTCATAAGCATGTGTTGGATTTTGTTTTTCACTTAATTCGTGGTAATAACGAATTTAAGATCATAAAAACAGATATTGGGTAACCATAAACCTCAGTGGTAATTCCTGAGAGTCTCAAGGGTTATGTTTATGAATGCAAAAGTGATGGAGACATGTGAGAGATGGTTCCAAAGAAAAAAATGTACCTTTTCTATGCGAAAGTGACCAAGCAGTTAACTCTTGACTTAATGTGAGAAGAGTAAGGTAGCTCATGATTTATGTGAATAAACAACCTAATTGGGAAGAAACAATTGGTGTTATCGATTCACTAAGGCTTCAACGGAGAATCTTTGAGGATTTGGACTACATATAGCATCATGCTTTTAGGGACGCTTAACCAATGCATAGATTAAGAAATTTATCCTGCCCCATCATACAAATTGAGAATTATTACGAATATGTACCTTCAATCCTGCTCAATTATCTGATAGTTTTTGTATTTTATAATTTTATGAAAAGGAATAAGAACAAAAATAAAGAAAATATTTTTGTATTTTCGATTTTATGAAAAAAAAATATAGAAACAAATAAAATATTTTTGGATTTTGTTTTTCTTAAAAAGAAATAAAAACGGAAACAAATAAGATGTAATAAACAAAGTGTACAAAGGATACATGATGTTCCGAACCTCCAAATGAACAGTGGACTGCGAGTTACTGTGAGCGTTTGCACCAATTTGTAGTATGAAAAGTAGATTGTGAGTCACTGCGAGTGTTCACACTAATTCGCAGTTAAAACATTACAAATGCAAGGATAGTTTTCGAACAGATTCAACCTCTATCTTTTCTAAGCATTGAAGTATTCTATTAAAGTATTGTTCAGGCAAGGATTTCATGAAGATATTGACTAACTGATTAGCGGATCTAACGAAGTGTATCTCGATATTAGTATCTTCCACTGTTCCACATGGTCATTGATGAAGTGATACCTCGGTGCTATGTGTTTCGTCTTTGAATGTTGCACTGGGTTGTGACAAATACAAATGGCGCTCTAAAAATCATAGTTTAATGGGATTCGCTTCATGTTAATGCCATCGTCATGAAGCTGACTTCGAATCCAAATTACTTGTGAAGTACAACAGGTAGTGTATATGTACTTTGCTTCACCGGTTGATAAAGATATGCAAGTTTTCTTTATAGATTGCCAACTTACGAGTTTGCCATCAAGGAATTAGCATCCTCCTATTGTACTCTTTCGATCCAAACCACAACCCCCTAAATCAGCATCCGAAAACACTTGCACAAAGAAACCCGAACTTGAAGGGTACCATATTCTGAGTGAGGATGTTCATTTTAGATACCTGAATATGTTCTTGACAGCAGTCATGTGGGTTTAGCGAGGATTCGCTTGAAACCTAGCACAGTTGCAAACAGAAAACATGATGTCTGGACAAATATTCATTAGATACATCAATGAACCTATCATTTGACGACAGAGTGTCATATCAGCAGCCGGTTTGTCCAGAGATGGTGTTAGTTTTGTTCTAAATGCCATTGGAACCTTCACTTTTGAATCTCCTACCATTCCAAAGTTTGAGAGTAGGGTCTTTGTATAAGCCACCTGATTGATAAAGATACCTTCTTGACTCTGTCTCTGACATCAGAAAATTTCACAGCCAGAAAAGATCGATTTCATTTATGCTTTTATAATAAAATCAGAGTAATCTTTCAAAGAAAAGTGTTGTGGAATTTCTTCCCATAACAAAATATGATAAAATTTTATCAAAGCATTCCTTAAATAAATGTATTTTCATTATATTACAAAACTCGAGATGTCATCGTCAATACATATCAAAAGCATAAACAAATCATAAGCCATACGACAATATTGTCTCTGAATACAATATAGGCCTTTACAACATTCTATATATTTTCTACTCGCCTATAAATCCACAATCTCTTGTCAG